CCATCACGCCATATTGGAGGGTCAATCTCTCATGCCCGACACAAGAAACGTATACCAAGAGTTAAACTAGCTGTTAACAATTCCATATTAACTAAATAGTCAATCTATAAAGTGGTAAACTAGTCAATTAATTTGTTAGTATTAACTTTTTAGCATTGGTTGATAACTGGACTTAACATTGGTTAATCACTGGACTTTACATTGGAGTGCTTCATCTGACTATCTGCATGTTACACAAATTTGAAGGAATTCAACCACATTTATCTTATTTAGTCACCAACTTTAAATTGGAGAAGTAAGAAACCTTCTAAAAGTCATTAAGATAAAGAATATAATTGGTCACCTTATGGGCACTAAAATTAATTTGTAACGAGAGTTTCTTTTTATTGTTAGTTATAAAGTAGACATAACATTTTTCTTTATCAAATTAGTAAAACCTTTTATAATGAAATACATTTGAATTCGAAAAATTTTTCGCTCTTTATATCCTTAAAGAAATATAAACAGATTAATTAAAACGTATCTTATTTATTTTTATTAACCAAAATTTAACACTTGAATAATGATTTCTTCAAGTTTTAATAATCTTCTATGCATGAAACAAATATATTTCATTAATCTTAAGTGTTGAGCTCAGTTAGTAAACTCAGTTTGTTTCCTTGCCATTAGCTAAGATTTTATTTTTTTTAAGAAAAAGCTGAGATATCTCATATTTCATTAATAAAAAATATAGTAAAAAAAGAAGTGAAAAAATTAAAATTTTACCCTTTCTTATAAATCAAATTATTCCATTTTATACAAAAAATAATAATTTAATAGAGAATTTGAAGTCTGATATTTGACTAGAATTTAATATTTTGATATTAGAGTAAGAATAAAATAAGAAGTCGTAAAATTTAATAGAAAATTGTTATTATTATTAAATAACTGTAAATAACATGACTATAAAAATATTAATTTGAAAAAAAAAAAGAAATTTACTAATAGTTATTTTTATAAGGTCAATGAATTCAAAATAAAATATAAATACAGAAAAGTTAACAGTTGATACGAAAACTTCCAATCGAAGCTGATGGAATTAGTAGATCTACCCTATATATCATTCAAGGGAGAAGATTCTCAATGCTGAGCTCTCTCTTTTTATTTTTTATTTTTTTTAATAAAGACATGTTTAGATGAGTAGTAAGGAATAATATTTGACATTTATACTTAAAAAATTCTGAAAATTAAGGAATAATATCATCAACGATAAACTAATTAATTTAAAATTCTGAAAATTTTCAGTTAAAATAATGATTGAATTACCAATAAAATGCTGTGATATTTTAGCGGCGGATTGTGTTTACGATAGCAACAGAAAATAAAATAAGGCACAAAATAAGAATAAGTGCAGAAAATATTTGAAGTCTGATATTTGACTAAGGTTTAATATTTTGATATTAGAGTAAGAATAAAATAAGAAGTCATAAAATTTACACGCTGTATGGAAAAGAGAGAACAGAAAATAAGAAAGAAAGGAAAATAACAAAGGAAAATAAAAGAAAATTGTTTTATTTTCTTTCCTTGGATATTTTCCACTTTAGATAGAATGGAAAATAAAGAGAGGAAAGAAAATATTACTGTTGCATAATTGCAGTTTTAACCTTAACATTTTATATAATGTTACAAGTTTACTTGATAAATAAAAATAGTATATTTAATTAATTACTATTTAATTTAATTAAATACCATCAATCACCATCTAAAAAAAATAATATTTATTTTTTAATATAAAGCATCAACAATAATAGTTTGGTTCTTTCCAATTTCCATCTTCTATATTTGCTATTTGTGGAGAATTGCAGCGACATGGAAACAAGACAGAGGAGTTAATTGTTGGAGATAGGAAAATGAATTTTTTTTTAGGAAAATGAATTTTTTTTTGTAATTTTTTACAAACATTGAAAATCTCCCACAAAATTTTTTGTTTTATCTCCGATTCGGAGAGATTGAAAAATTGCTGAGCCAATTCCAAACAGATGATTTCAGTACAAATTCTCCTTCCTCTACAATTTTCTTAACATCATCCAAACAGAGGAAAATAACTTTCCTCATTTATTTTACTCAATTATTTTCCTTTCTCGGGTATTTTCCACATTTAATCATTTATGTGGATTCCTTATATTTTTTTATTTGGTTGAGAAAAAGTAAATCATAAAATTTATGAATTTCTTCGTAACTTTAATTTCATCGTTTTGAGAGAGAGAAATCTCGGCTCGAAGTTGAGAACTTTATTAATTATATAGTTTTATATGAACGATGGAAGTTAAATCATTTAATTTTATTTTAAAAATAACATTCAAATCTATGCAATTTTTTTCAACCAAATAATAAAATATAAGGTTCTATGTCAATCAGATGTGGTCTTGTTGGTCTTTTCACTAATGTAAGGAGTTAGAGCTCTCGAGTTCGAATCTTATTGTGAGTAGAGTGAGAGAGGTAGTTATGATCATAGTTTCAAAGCTATTGGTTTCGGTTTTAAAACTATCGATTTCAATTATAAAAAACTTTAAGGATTGAATCGAAATTCAAATCACTTTTCTGCAGATTTTAAGATGGTATTGGAACCACTGGTTTTTAGGCAGATTTTAAGATGGTTTTGGAACCACTGGTTTCGATTTGAAACCGAATTTAGATAATCATTTTCAAACTTATTAATTTTTTTTTAGTTTTGTATTTTTAATAAATAATAATAATAATAAAATAGTACTATTGGACAAACTAAACCAAATTAATAATTAAAAGTTCTAAAATTTAATTTAAAAAATTATAACAAAACAAAAAAAAGTATTAAGAGTTTCTTGTAATTTTTTTTATGGTTTCAAATTAGAATCGTGCATTCTAATTTTAGAAAATGAAGAACCGAAACCAAACTATAAAAATATCATTTTAATTATGGTTTGAAATTGGATGCAATTGATTGTCGTATGATGGTAATTTTAACTCGGTTATGGTTCGGTTTCGATTTGAATTCAACCGTGGTGATGCCTAGTAAAACGACTAAAAATCACATGTGTAATAAGGTAGGTGATACAACTACAAATATTAAATAATGAAAAGCATGTGTGGTATAATTAATATATTTATTATATTTCCTCCTAAAGAAATATCAAGTCTCTGGATCACCACATTGCAAATATTAAATAAAAATGTTTTCTTACATGTTGTTAAGATAAATTGCGATTGTATGTGGACAAAAAAGGAGTTCAATTGACTTCCTTTATTTAATTCCTTTTTAACCTATCCAAAATTTTAAACTTGACTATTTTTATAATTAAGATTAAAATTTTTATATTATTTTATTTTATGTTTACTTTGGATTTTTTTTTTTAAATCCATCATTGGTTAAGTTTTATTTGTTTCAATTTTTCACATGATGTATTTACATCAAAGCTTATATAATGTCTTTATTTTCATGTATTTAATTGTTGTATTTTCGTATTTAATTGTTGTATTTTCGAAAAAAAAAGTATAAAAATAAAAATAAAATATAGTATGAAGAAATTACAATTTTCTGTTTTCATTTCCTTGGTCTTTCTGTTTTGGGATTGAGTCCGTTGATATTTTAGTAGTGATGGGCCAATGGACCCACGAACCTCCTTGGCCATGTCAACAAGAACAATGTAGCCTTTCCCCAAACCTAACGACCTAAGCATAAATACTCCAAACCCTTATTAGTGATGGAATCAAGGAGTTTGGTTGGGGATAAGTGGATTAGGAAAATGTAAATTCTTATAAAGAGCATAAAATACTTCTATTTAGTTTACATTATTAATTCTATTTTCCGATAAATAGATTATTCAATTTTTTTTATACAAGAGAAATAAATAAATTGGGTAAATTATATCAATGATCACTTAATTTTGTACTTTTTTTTTATCTAAGTCACATAAGTTTAATGTTATTTTTTAATTACTGAATTTTAATTTTTGTTTTAATAGGAGTTCACTTACCGGAATATGGCAATAGGAACAATAATATGACAATAAAAATTACATTTATCACAAAAATAAAATTATAATTACAAAGGAATATAAAAAGGAAAAGGAAACAATGCTACAAAATATAAATAATGGAATGAAAATTTACCTCTTATCTTTTTAAAACTTATTCCGTGTAAATGAAATTATTTATTAAATAAATTAATTGGTAGATTTTAAATTAATGTGTTAAGAGAATATATGAATTTTGTTAAAATAAAATATTTTATTTTTATTACATGTTAGTTTTTTTTATAATGGCATTTCGGTGGGTGAACTTCCGCTGAAACAGACATTAAAATTTAGTAAATAAAAAATGACAAATTAAAATTATGTAAGATGTAAAATTAAGGGATCTTTTAAGTTCTTTAGATATGGCTAGGGAAATTGCATTTTTCTAATTAAATGCAATGAATTTATTAAATTAAATATACTTAATTTTACATTATAAATATTATTTTCTGCTCATCAAGAAGTTGATTTCTACAGTAAATAATTGTATTTCATATTTGTATTGTGCTCATTTCACTAAAATTTCTGCACTCTTCTTAAAACAAAGAAAAGTTCTGTAAAAATAGAAAAGTTAATTTCCAATATTAATGCTAAAACGAACTATCTATCTTGATAGTTGATTTTACAAATTCAGTCTATTCTCAATTTTATTAAAACTATAATCTCAGAATTTATTTTGAATTTCACGTCTCATTTATTTAACACATAAAAATTATAATTAAAAAGTATAAATTAATATAAATTGGGAGAATAAGAGTGCAAATGCAATTAATTCACCAAATTAAAAAGAAAAATAGAAAAAATACTACAACTACAAAATGGCATAAAGTCATCAAACTTTTTATTTCAATAAACAACCACATATATGAAAATGAATGGTCATTTTCAATGGGTAGGGTTTATTGTATTGGCAACATCAATCACAAATCGGTATCTAACATCAGCTTTCAACCAATAAACAACCACATATATGAAAATGAATGGTCATTTTCAATGGGTAGGGTTTATTGTATTGGCAACATCAATCACAAATCGGTATCTAACATCAGCTTTCAACAACCGCTCTAAGGCGGTGTTCACATAATCAATTCCAATAACTTCAACATCTGCTCTTATGCCGTGTTCGGCTGCGAAATCAATCATTTCCTGCGTCTCTTTCATTCCTCCAATGCAGCTTCCACCAACTATCTTCCTCCCTATTATTAGACGGTTAATGGTTTAATCGCCATTTCAAAATCTTAAATGAAAGATAAAAGTGGAAGGGGAATAATAATCAGTTAATTACCCATTATCAGAGGAAATACTGGGAGATCTAATGGCTTCTCTGGAGCACCAACCAGAACTATCTTTCCATGAGACTTCAATAGGCCAATCAAAGGGTAGAGAGGGTGCGTTGCAGACACTGTATCAATAATTCCATCCATTGTTCCCATTGCAGCCTATTGAAGCAAAATAGTTAACAATATTAAACATATCTTACTATAAAATGTTTTTTGAATAATCTAAATTTGCGATTGACTTCGTCAGATTTGATCTATGGAGGCATTTATAAATCAAAATAATAAAAAATAATTTATTTTGCTGAAACGAAATTATTTTTAATTATTCATTTAGAAAAAAAAAGAATAAAATGAACTTTGTTTTAAAAAAAAAATCAGTGTTTTAATTGCTTTGATATGTGAGTGGAACCATAATACGGGTCTAAATAAACATAATACTCTAAATTCAGCAATGCAATTTATTTGAATACCTTGATTTGATCTTGGTCACGGCTGACCAAAAATGAGTCAGCACCTAGACGGCCAATGGCTTCCTCTTTCTTGTGGGGTGAGGTGCTAATGACAGTTACTTTAACCCCCATAGCCTTACCAAACTTGACAGCCATGTGACCGAGGCCACCAAGCCCAACAACACCCACATGCATGCCCGGTTTGTCAAGCCCATAATATCTTAACGGGCTGTACACTGTAATCCCAGCGCATAGGAGAGGGGCAGCAGCATCGAGAGGCAAGCCATCTGGAATACGAACGATGAAGTGCTCGTCGGCGACCATTGAGTCAGAGTAGCCGCCGTAGGTGGTGGTTCCGTCATAATACTTGACGCCATATGTAAGTATCATTTGTGGACAGTAATTTTCAAGATTGTTTGTGCAGTTATCGCAGGAGCGACATGATCCTACCATGCATCCTACACCCACCTTGTCTCCTACCTTGAATTTTTCAACCTGGCTTCCCACCTCTGTCACCACTCCCACAATCTCATGCCTGCATTTTTATAGTAAATCTCAGTTCACCATTTAAAAATTAAAAAAATTAAAAACCAACTTGGTAATAGAATTTTCCAAGAACGCAATTAAAATAAATATAAATATTATATTAAAATTAACCAATTGGATTCAAATTCAAACAACAACAGCAACAAAACTAATCAAGAAAAATGTAAATGTGAAAGAAGCATTTAATTACCCAGGGACAAGAGGGTAAGTAGAAGAACCCCATTCATTCTTGAGCATGTGAAGATCAGAGTGACACATCCCACAATATAGGACTTTAAAAGCCACATCTTTTTCCCCTGTTGCCCTGCATTGCATAAACACCAAAAACACAAATACAGTTACTTTTTATATGAACTACGTATATTGTATGATAAGGGAGGGACAAAACCAATCAACCAGATCTATCGTATATTGTATGATGAAGGAGGAGACAAACAATTCAACCAGATCTAGAGGGACAAAACCAATCAACCAGATCTATGGAATAAGTAAAGAACCTTCTAGAGAATTTGAAAGGAGAGAGATGGCCAGTCTGGTCTCTTGCTGCCCATCCAAAGGCTGGCTTAGGATGCTCTTCCTCTGGCGATTTGGCTGCCATTTTTTTTTAATTATGGAAAATCGAAATGGCAATATACAAATAGCAAATGAGTTTGGAGAGAGTTGAGAGAAGAAAGGCTCCAATGTAGGTTGGTGATGGAGTTTAGGATTTGTGGGCATGCATATATTATATATATACATATATATATATACAGTGGGAAGGGAAACAAGCGGTTAGGAAAATTGGAACTGTGAAGGTTCTAGCCTGGGCTAGAGCGATGACGTATTAGATTAGGCGAGCTTTTGTTTCGTGATTTGCATATTTGCTGACGAAACACAGAGAGAGAAAGGGCCAAATGGGAGAAAAGCATGAACTATGGTCAATGGATTCGAAAATTTCGGCGCATCCAATCCAAGACCATTTTTATTTAAAAAAAAAAAAATGCTCATGTCGTGAGTTCACATCTTCTGCTCCTTTATCTTCATGATTAAAATAAAGATTAAACTCTTAGTAAATCCGTACGTTAGATTCTAAAACAACTAAAATTATTTTTATTTTTATTAAAAATGAAGTAAATTAATCATAATTCATATAATTAATTATATATAAATTAATTCTAAAATTAAATTAAACATCGATATTTATCTAGTTATAAATTATTTTAGAAACTAAAATCGATACGATAGGTTCTAAATTTATCTCCGCATTTCATTAGAAAATTAAATGACTGATTTGCCCATTCATTAGGGAGAATAACTGGTTGTATGTTTAGTTTCAATGAACGGAAATTTATTCATAATGTATTTTGATTTGACTCGGATAAAACTTTTTTTGTGTTTCAATTTACACTTATAGGCTTGTTAAGAGGCATACCGTGACACACCATGACATAGTCTAATTGTAAATATATATGCGAGAGGTATACCGTGACACACCATGACATAGTCTAATTGTAAATATATATGCAATTTGACAATAGAATCAAGTTCATATCCCCACTCTCCTAATACTCAAAAAAAAAAAAAAAAAAAAAAAAAAAAAAAAAAAAAAAAAGAACTGAATGTTATCGTAATACTCTAAATTTTATAGATTTTTTAATTTCAATATTTTTTGATCTTTATGGTGAATTTAGTCTTAATTCTTGATCTTTAATAGCGATAGAACTCAAATTGCAATTAAGGATTAAAATTGTAAATTAAAGAGTATTTTATCATTTTTTTAAAAAAATTTAATTAAAGAAAAAAGGAATCTATAATTCACCACTATAGTGGATGACATAAAAAAAAAAAAAAAAAAAAAGACTGAATGTATCGTAATACTCTAAATTTTATAGATTTTTTAATTTCATCATATTTTGATCTTTATGTGAATTTATCTTAATTTTGATCTTTAATAGCGATAGAACTCAAATTGCAATTAAGGATAAAATTGTAAATTAAAGAGTATTTTATCATTTAAAAAAAATTAATTAAGAAAAAAGAAATTATAATCACATATAGTGGATGACATTTATAGAAATTATATTTGAGATATTTAAAAAATTATTTTTTATTAAATAAGTAATAATTTAATTATATTATCAATAAAAAATTACAATCATTAGATTTTTCACCTTTTAAAAATATATAATATGAAAACAAATTACGTAATTTAAAAATTTTATATTTTATTAACTTAATTTTTTATCCCATGTTTCAGGATTTTTTGGTAACGAACAAAAATTTTTGTTATTAAATTATTAATTGACACATTTATTTTAAAAATTAAAATTTAATCTATGCAACATTAATTGTATAGATTAATAGAAAAGTTTTGAATTTTTTTAAAATTTTTATAAGTTTCACAATTCCATCTTTAATTGAAGATGAGATAAAATTTTTTTATTTACAATTCCATCTTTAAATTGAAGTTGAGAATGATATGACTGCAAAATATCAACTGTAAAGCTTGAAAAATTCAGAGTATTCTAATATATCAGGACATTGTTAATAAAAAGAAACCGTGTGAAAGCAATCCTGGCGCATAATTGGTTATGGCAAGTTCTTATTAATTCCCTAATTTGCCTTCGATTTCCTACTTGTTTTTCTTTATTTTGGGAAAAATTTCCTTTTTTAAATTGTGGTCCACTGCCTTGGACTCAAGTTAAAAATGCAAACATAAATTGACATATCAACCTACACAAATTATGAAAAAAAAAATACACAAGTCATAACCCAATAATAAATGCATTTATAATTTGACTATAGATCCCAATTCGAATCTTCTCTCTTATTACTCAAAATATATATAAATATGTGTGGCAGAAAAAAAAAAAAACCGAAAGCACACGTGTTGCACATGATTAAGTTGATAATGCAAACATAAATTGAAAAAAAGGCAGGTACGTGGCAAAATTGGGTACAGTCAGAAGAATTATCTGTTACAACGATTTTCACATCATAGATATTTTCTTGCTGGACTTAATTTAATGTTTGGTAGTGGTCCATTCTTGGCTGTCTATGCTATCTCAATTCTGGATGTGTTAGTTCCCACCTATTCAATGTACATGTCAATTTCATATTTTTCATATCTTAGGCTTTGTTTGAAAGTCGCCGGCGGTGATAGTGTCTGTGGGAAGCTGTGGTGGTAGCTGGCAGTGAATGATGATTGTTGATAATGGCTACCAAAAATTAATAAATTAAAAAAATATACATTTATAAGGTTATAATAAATTTGTTAATATTCGTAAAATATTTTTCATTAAAAATAACTTCATTTTTCTTTGATCGAAAAAATATTCTCTATGGACTTATTTTTCTGAACACCTCAAATAATGAAAAATTGTAGAAAATATTTTACTACAAATTATTTTATGGAAAAAAAAGAACCCTTAATAAGACAATTACAGCTTTAATTATGTTACAAATATAGAATGTTTATATATCTTTACATATCTACGAGCTCAATAACATGATGGGCTACATAATAGGGTAGCCCCTCCCATTTTTCTCACTTACGATCCAAATGATTCGAATTCAAAATCTTCCACTTCTCATATGAGTGAGAAGATTAATCATACCACACCTGATTAATTAGGTAAAGCTATTATTTAAAAATTAGTTAATTTGTTAAATGTATCATATACAAAATTTGATTTTTTTTTTTCAATAAACGTAGAAATTGAATGTACTAAAATAAGGAAAATATGAACAATAAATCAAGCAGATTTTCTTACTTTTGTTAAAGAGGACCTGAAAAAAAAAATAGTGATGAGAAGCACTATCGTACAGGGGCATCCAGTAATGATGGAGAGTAGAGACTGAGGCAGCAATAGCAGTCTCATTGCCCATTTGATGATTTAACTGATGAGACAAGATTATGAAGTCCACGTTGTATCTCACTTGTTGATTTATTTATCGGAGTTTAAAATCATAATTTCATGATATCCGAAAAAATTTCAATATATTTAAATTAAAATTAAGAACGAAAACTACAAGAATCAGGGTCGAGGAAAAAAAAAAAAATCGAAACGACAGTAATTTTATACTAAAATTGAGTATTACATTAGGATTAAAGTCTCCAGTATCTTAACCTTTTATTTTGTTTTAATGCACTTCTTAAGAATACAGACCCGCCATAGTGTAACCATACATTTATGATACATCATATATATGGATTATTTATTCAAAAATTAATCAGAAACCTGTTTAAGGATTGGAAGCAGCAGCAGCAGCAGCATCAGAAGCCAAGGTGTTTCCAATGTCGATGACAAACCGGTATTTAACATCAGCTTTAGCCAAACGCTCCATTGCAGTGTTGACATAGTCAATTGGGATAACCTCAATGTCTGCTTTTATGTTGTGTTTGGCTGCAAAATCAATCATTTCTTGTGTCTCCTTCATTCCTCCGATGCAACTCCCAGCGACAACCTTTCTTCCTGTAGGTTCACTCATCACTTAATTGTCTTAATTTATTACCTTTAGTTATATTCTAAATTAGCAAAGCATAACTATATGAATTGAAAATTTATTTTAATTTCATTACCCATAATCATTGGAAATACAGGTAGCTCAAGAGGCTTCTCTGGAACGCCAACCAAGACAAGCTTTCCATGAGATTTCAATAAACCAATCAATGGCAAAATGGGATGAACCGCAGACACTGTATCTATGATCCCATCTAGTGTGCCCATGGCAGCCTATATAAAAAACGAGATAATATTACAACTTTATCGTATATATAAATATATGTATATGTATATAGTTTTACCTGCAATTGGGCTTGGTCACGGCTAACCAAGAAAGAATCAGCACCAAGATGGTTGATAGCTTCGTCTTTCTTAGTAGGTGATGTACTAATAACTGTGACTTTAGCCCCTAAAGCCTTGGCAAATTTTACAGCAACATGACCAAGTCCACCAAGACCAACCACACCTACATGGTTTCCAGGTTTTGCTATTTCATAATATTTCAACGGACTATAAACTGTAATACCGGCACAAAGAAGAGGAGCACCGGTGTCAAGCGGCATATTATCAGGGAAACGAACAATATAACGTTCATTAGCCACCATGTGATCTGAGTAGCCTCCATAAGTGACTGTTCCATCTGTGTAGATGGCACCATAGGTCAGTGTCATTTCTGGACAGTAATTTTCAAGGTCGTTGTTACAGTTTTCGCAGGAATGGCATGCACCAACCATGCAACCTACTCCCACTTTATCCCCAACTTTAACCTTTTTTACCTTGTTGCCAACTTCTGTTACTTCCCCTACAATTTCATGCCTGCATAAGTAGCTTTCTAGTTTTAGTATTATCATACACAGCTTCGCTGAAAAGAAATTAATAAGTGGCTCATCAAGGATAATATTTTTGGTCCGAATCCAAACAAGTACGCAGCCAGCTTGGGACGGGTAGTAACTGGAGCCGGAACCATCCAAAATCGGTACTTCTTTAGAACCGTGAACCGGCGATTTTAAAAATTTTAAAAATTTTGCAATCGTTTTATACGACAGCCAGAATCAGCGATTCTAACAGTTTTTTTTTTTTAATTATTCAAAATCCCAAATTAATCCTCCCAATAATTAAACAATTTCTTTAAAAAAAAAAAACAATAAAACGATTAATTTTAAGGATATTTTTGAAAATTAGATTTTTTTTAATTTACTATTAATATCCTATATTATTTTCATTAATCCTCACATCATTATTTCTCGATACTTTCTAAACTCCCCGATTTATAACTTTTTTTACTAATATTTTTTTTAAAATTATTTTTAAAAAATTATTCATAAATTTTAAATTTTAAATTATGAAAGAAAATGTTTTCTAATTTTTTAATTTTTAAATTACGTGAGCTGACCGCAATCGTTAAAAAACTAAAATCGAAACTAAAACGTCAATTTGTACGGTTTCACATTTTTTGATACTATAAATGTAGTTTTATAATAGATTTCAGTAATTCCACAACCGTGGTCACGCTACATTGTTGATATTTTATCAAAATGAATTTTCTTTTTCCAACAATCTTAAGGGGATATACTCTCACATCAATTTTTATGATTTCATAAATAATTTTATTGTTAGTTCGTTAATGTCCCAATAACATTCTTCCTAATCGATTAAAAGAGAGAGAAAAGAGAGCTAAGAGTGATTATATCCCTTGATTTAAAAAAAATATATATAAATAGATAAATGGTAAATAAATAAGGCTTCGTTTTCCCATGATTAACGACGGAGGTTACAGGTGGTTTTGATCATTTTTTATTTTTTAATTATGTAAATGAAAAAATTTAAAATTGTCTCACTGTGCATGACAAAAATCTAATTTAAATTTAACACTTGAAAATGAAGAAAAATTGTGCGTTATATTTTTATATATATACACATGACGATGACGCCATCCGTTAAGCTGCTGTTGGCCTGTTGGTGTAAGCGCAGCGTTTTCCCAATAAAAAACTGATAATAAAAAAGAATGGTGTTGGAGTACGCGGGTAATCCTACATCAAATAAATACAACTAACTAAAAAATGCATATAATGTAAAAGGTGAACTAATTAAAATGGTTTAAGTCATTTTGTGTTAAAGATATAATCAACTCATTATATGTTAATATTAAATGGTGAGATGATCAAACTGTTTATCTTATAAGATAAAGCCGACACACCATGTCCATATATCTCATACTTTCGCTTTAATTTCAACTTTCAAACATCCAATTACTTCCAAAAGATCGAAAGTTAATTACTTAATTTTCAGGCTAAAACAGACATTATCTGATAAAATATTATCTTTCATCAAAGAATTGTGAATGTTACTGTGTATTATCAATAAATATATATCTCATATTTTCAAAGAAATAAATATATATATCTCACGTCTACAAACATGCTTAGGTAAACTGCGTTTTTAAGCGAGTTTTACCTAGAAATTTAAGCATTAATTTGCCTAATTTGATCTATAATTTCATCTATAAACTAAATCAATAAAACTAATTTAAAAAAAAAAATTAGTTTTACTTTTTATTTCTCACTGTGATTAGAAATATCTTCATTTTATTAAAAATATATATTTTTCATTAATTTGATCTATAGGGGAAACCACAAACTGAATTTAGATAATTGAATTTCTAAATTTAATAATTTAAAACCTGAGTTACTACTATTGATAAGATTTTACGTTTAGAGTGTGAAAAATATCTATTTATTTTAATAAAAAATAAAATATTTATCTCACGTAAAATATTAAGAATTATATTCTGAAAAAAAAATAAAGCACTAATACGTTAGACTCGCGTTGATTTTCAAGCATTTTAAAATTATTTTTCAATTAGAACTGATCCCACATATATAGAAGTTGTCATAAATACAACGAAACATGTAGAGCTACATATATTTTAAAAGTCACCGTCTTAGAAGCGAGTCGAATGTTCTATCATTTATGAATAATTATCAAGTAATAAAGGATGAAAGTACTAATAATCGAGAGAAAATGTTTTATCATTTTACGGGATAAATTCAGATTAATTAGGATTTCAGGATAATTTTGACCGAAAAAAAAGTAAAAGAAAAGGTTGAATTAAAAAGAAAAATCACAAAGAGTTGAAATCTTCGGATTCATCTTTTTCGGTGCTCTTGATATAAAAATATAATTTATATTTGTAAACAACAAAGTAAAAATTAAATAAAGGATGGATTGACACTCACCCAGGAAGAATGGGGTAGGCAGACAAGCCCCAGTCATTATTGATGCTATGCAAGTCAGAATGGCATATCCCACAATACAACACCTTGAATCTCACATCCTCCTCCCCAGTAGCTCTGCACATAAGTCATAACAATGAACAACATTAGTTATTAAACCCACACACCGCCTAATAATTAAAATCAAACATATTTATTAATATGACCTTCTCGAGAAAATGAAGGGACCAAGTTTGGCAGATTGTTCTTTAGCTGCCCAACCAAAGGCCTTCACTGGGTGTTCTTGTTCTGGTGATTTCGCCATTAGACACAGAGAGAGAGAGAGGAGGAAGAAAAAGAAGAAGTTGCTTTTGCAGAAATGGAGAGAGCAGAGAGATCAGAGAAGTAGTGCGTTATATAAAGCAAGAAATGAATTAATTAGTTTAATATGAAAGGCTAAGTAATGGGTGATCTAATTATTAAGCTGATAGGGTCCCACATTGTTGTTGGTTTAATTTCTTAATATAATACAATCCTGATTTCAGGCGGGATCAATGCATATAATCATTAATATATGGAAAAGAGTATTTATACCGTATGTACAAACAAGTCTTATGAAAATAATCGTATTGTACGAATCAAATAATAATATTTCTGAAGCACACAAAACAAGCATTGAATATTCTAAAATATGTGTATATAGACAAGTCTTAATAGCATAATCGTATTGTCCGTATCGAAAATAATATTTCTCCAACACACTAACATGCATTGAATATTCTAAAATATGTTTTATTAATTTTTTTAATTTTGATTTTAAATATATTTTTAAAACACTTTGAAAATACTTCTCGAGTCTTTTAAAAATACTTTTAAAAATTTTGTAGATATAATGAAATTTTTTTAGTATGAGATTTTACGTATAAATTGAATAATTTAGTTGTACTTAAAATTAAAAATTGAAAAGAAAAACTTTAAATATTATTTAGTCTGTCATTATTTTTAGCAATAACATTTCAAATAGCTTTTAGTCTTTTGATCTAGTCAAAACGCTACTTCTATTATTTATATGGACCCAGTTCATCAAATTTATAGTATACCGATCTTGTTCGCAACTGCTTTTGAACTAACTTCTAGTGTTTTGATTTGGCAACAACTTTTATATTATAATTCTTCCGTCTTAAAATGTTTGTCCTGTTTATTTTTGCACAAAATTTAAAAAATACATTAATAATTGTGTCACATCAAATAAAAATATTCATATCTTTTCAAAATTGTCCTCCTCTAAAATAAAAAAAAAAAAGATTATTCATAGATTTTAAAATCATTTATAACGAGGAGTATAAAGGAAAAGTAAATATTTCTTAAATCAAGTGGATAAACATTTTGGGACATCTAAAAATAAAAATATGGACAAACATTTGGGAAAGAGGGAGTAGTAACTTTTGAACTATAGCTTTTAGCATTGTAAACTAGTTCAAACTCTATCTTTATTAATTATAATGTTTGATACGGTAGCTTTATAATAGTTTCAGGGAGCTTTTTATGAAATGTTAAATACTATAATATTTAGCTTTAATTAAAATTTTTCAATAATTATATCCATTTTTCTTTTGAATTCAACTAATTAAACAATTAATTAGTCGTCTTCTTGCACTTCGCGTGCCAATGTTATATAATGTTTAAGAATAAAAATGTTCTTTTGATTATAATTAATAATTACTTTCAAGAATCCAAATATCCAATATTATACTTACTAATATAAAAAAATTAAATTAAAATAATTTTTTTCCAAAGTCTTGCAAAATGATCAATACATTGACACATGCATACATAAATCAAATTTGTAATCAAGCTTAAAATTTCTAATTTTTATAAATATTGTAATAGATTTAAAATGATCTTTTTAAATACCAATTATTGAATTCATTTTGAATAAATAATCTAGAATTCTAGCATAAATCCAATAAATATTGAAAACTTAAAAAAAATTCATTGAAGTTTGCCCTGATTTGGAATAGGTTGAGAAATATTATCATCTCCATTCACAAAATAAAAGATAAATATTAATTTTGTCATTAAATATTTCTCTATTTCACGGATAATGACATTAGAAAATGAATTTTAATTTTAGTTTCATTAAAAAAGCAATGTGAAAAATAAATTTTATGGTTTAGGTAGCATCGTGTTGAACAAAAAAAAAAAAAAACACTTAACTATAGTAACAATAAATAAAATCTTTTTATATGGATTAGATACTCTAATAGCTATGGAATAATTTATTATAAATCACAAAATCATACCTTAATTGATAATCGGAAACTGAATACAATTTGTAAATCTATCATCATCACCACATTGATTAAGCTCACATAGAAAAAAAATATCATGAAAATAGTTTTATATTGTTTACAAAGAACTCATTTCTTTTTGTTGAAAGGATAATTGATTTTCTTTAAGGTTTCATTTATATTGAAATCGATGTCTAAACAAATTCTGTAACAGTGAAAAAAGAAAATAGATAGAATAATTATTAATGATATTGATAATTATTTTAGGGAAAAAAGAGAAAATTTTTTAAAATACTAATGACATTATTAATTTAATTAATTATTTAAAAAACTGAAAATATTATAAATGATAATAATTAAGTTCTTTATTAATTATATTAAAAATAATTTTTAAAAATATAAAAATTATTTCCAACTTAATAGATTAACATTTGCCACATAAGCATTTTAATACTATTAGATGATATTTGATAATTATTTTTATGGGAAAAAAGAAGAAAATTTTTTTAAAATACTAAATGGACATTATTAATTTTAATTTAATTGTATTTAAAAAACTGAAAATTTATAAATGATAATAATTAAGTTCTTTATTAATTATATTAAAAATTAATAAAAATAATTTTTAAAAATATAAAAATTATTTCCAACTTAATAGATTAACATTTGCCACATAAGCATTTTAATACTCTAGAACTGTGCCACATAAGCTTTTATGTCTTAACTTTTATATATTTATATAGTTAAAAATATCCTTTTTGTCATTTTAAATTAAACAGCTATTTAAACACAGAATTATATCCGAAGCAAGACATTCCATAGCTTTGTTCACATAATCCATTGGAATAATCTCTTGTGTCTCCTTCAATCCTCCAATGATATGCCAGCACACTCTTTTTCCCTATATATTTTTATTTATTTTTTTTTTTAAGAAAAAACATATATTGTATTAATTAAAAGATAAAAGCTGCCCTATATTTTCTTTCTTTTTTTTTTTTTTTTAAAAACCTTTCATAGCACATTTAACTTTCGGCTTTTTCTTGTTGGTAGATTAACTTTCAGCTTTTTCTCACAATAAAAAAATGATTAATCTATTTTAATTTTATAAAATTTTCATTTCAAATAATTTCAATACCTTTTATCTTTCTAGATCTCAATATTTTTTTAGTGTTAGTGGGATTCAATAGATAAGAATAAAAATGTAAAACAATAATAAATTTTTTCTTGAATTCTAAAAATAACACTTAAATTGAAAAAAAAATTTTAAAATCGACTGTTTAAGTAGAAACAATCACATAGAAAACAAAAATTGAAACACTTAGCTTAGCTGCCTCTGTAAAATAATTCATTATATTAATTACTGCTCCCCTGTCTCAAAATATAAGTTGCTTAAGATTATCGCATAAGGATTAATAAAGGAATTAATTCTCCTAGATTATAATAAACTCAAGGGTAATTTCATCAAATTATCATTTAGTTCAAAACCAATACTTGCTTGTAAATATATTTGTTGTACCTAATCTAAACAGGGCAATATTTTCGAATAAAATAATCACTCAAAAACGATTTCTATTTTGGGACAGAAAGAGGAATTACTGGTTAATATAATGAGATCATGTCTAAGGTCCCCCTAACTTTCTTCTATGGCAGTAGCTCCCATTTTTAATTTCTTTTATTCCACCGTCGAGGCGGCTACCCTTTCTTTAATATGTTGACCGGAAACTTGCCCTCCATTTTGTCATTAATCAAATCCGTTCTATTTTAAAAGAAAATGTTCGGCATCATTGTTAATAATTATAATATATACCATGTTGTAAATTAAAAATATTCCTCCTTGTTGCTCTGATCTTTATTCTCAATGAAGTTATGGGTATTGATCCCTTTTCAAAAAGAAGTAATCATACCGATCAAATCATGTGATATGCGAGCAACAAAACATAGCCTAATGGTAAATATATATTTAATTTTGCAATAAATTCAAATTTAAATCTCTGATCCTAATATTAAAAAAGAAAAAATCAAGTGATATGTAAATTCATATATATTTTCTCTCTCCCTATGTCTCTCCCTCTTTCTCTGAAAACCTAAACCCCTTTCCTTTTTTTTATTTGTTTGGTTTTTTACAAATAATTATCAAATCTGTTTACAGATCTGAGTTATTGTCGCTCATATATTGTGATTTATTGTTACCCATATATTGAGATTTTATCCTTACATATAGTTCTGAGTTATTGTTATCACTATTATGGTGATTTTGTTTTACATCTTTTATTATTTGGATAATTATGCAAAAACAATATATTCCAATATTGAAGGAATGAAATTGAAAGTAATCAGATCAGACTTTCCCTCCAATTGAAGGAAGAAATTTGAAGGTAATCAGATCAGACTTGTAGAAAGACCATAGAGTCGAACAGTGGCGATGAATAGCTACCAAGTAGAGCAAGCGACCGTCTATAGCACAAATATTATGTTCTGTCAACTCGATAGGATACTTCAAATCAAGATTGTGCTCTTTTATTCTTTGTATATGTAGTTTATTATTAAGCTTTTTATGCAAAAATATAGAAATATATTGATCTGTATCCCATATCTGTATTGTATACAGTTTCCAATTAATGAAATTCTAGTTTGATTTTTCTCAAAAATATATATATAGTTTGCTTTGCAAGTTTAATATATTATTGGTGGAGGATAATTAAAGGAAAATAGTTACTCTTAATATCATGTGAAAATAATTATCTCTAAAGATTGCTATTTTTTAATGTTAGAGCGAACATAATTGTATATAAAATGGAAAGGAAATAAATAACTTAGATAACCAATCCCAACTGCTCCCACCAAAACATAAATAGATTAAGGTAATTGTTTTATCCAAAATATAAGACACTTAGAGTATTTTAAAAAGTAAATAAATATTTTCAATTTTACACTTATTTATATAGATATAATGACTATTTTCATATGTTATTTCAATTTGAGATAAATGTTAATTTGGTTAAGTTGCTTTTTTTAGTATTATAATTATAAAGAAAAAAAAAAAACTATTTTGGCCCTATAAAATTGCTAATTTACGCGTTTCCTGTGTATTAGAAATTACACTACGATGTTCCTAAATTATGTTTCCG